GTCCACATAGGGTTTTTTCTGTAGGCCTATAACCAGACAAGTGGCCCTCGTCTGAAACCTCTCTAAGCAATCCACATCCCTCCCAAAGTGCAGCACCCAAAACTGGACACAGTACTCCAGCTGTGGCCTGACCAATGTCGCATAGAGGGGAAGTATCATCTCCCTAGACCTGTTTGTGATGCACCTACTTATGCAAAAAAGGGTGCGGTTACTTTACTTATTACCTCATCACACTGGTGACTCATGTTCATTTTGGAGTCGACTTCCGCAGTTGTGCTACTTAGAGTGGTACCTCCCAGGCTGTAGGAGCGTTGATGATTCTTCCTCCCCAGGTGCAACACATGACACTTATTCTTGTTAAACTGCATCCTATTCTGTTTGGCCCATTTCCCCAGCCTGTCCAAATCATCCTGGATTCACTTCCTGCTGTCTAGTTTGTGTACCTCCCCGTCATGGTTTGGTGTCATCAGCAAACTTGGCCAGGGTGCTTTCTGCTCCCTGGTCCAAGTCACTAATGAAGATATTGAATAGTACTGGTCCCAGGACAGAGCCTTGACAGACTCCGCTACGCACATTTCTCCCGGTAGAAACCGACCCATCCACCACCATTCTCTGGGTGCTTCCCATAAGCCAATTTTCTACTCACCGGACTATGTAATAATCTACATTGCAACTGTTTAGTTTATTTATAAGAATTGGGTGCAACACTGTGTCAAAGGCCTTTTTAAAATCTAAGTAAATAACATCTACCTCTATTCCTTTACCCAAGTATTTTATGACCCTGTCATAAAATGAAGCCAAGTTATTCAGGCAGGATCTGAGTGCTATGAACCCATGCTGATTGCCCCTTAGCATCATTTTACCCACTGGTCCCCCACAAATGTGATCCTTAACAATTTTCTCAAAGGCCTTGCCAAGGATAGAGGCGAGACTAATCAGCCTATAGTTACCCTGTTCCTCCTTCCTCCCTTCTTGAAAATAGGGATGACATTGGCCCTTTTCCAATCCTCTGGGACCTGTCCTGAGCACCACGAGTGCTCAAACGGTTGTGACAGCGGCTCCGTTATGACTCCAGCTAATTCCCTAAGCACCTTAGGATGAAGATCATCAGGACCCGTTGACTTAAATACATTCAACCCTTCCAGGTGCCCCTTTACTGGGTCAGCTCGAACAGTTGGTGGGTTGGTATCTATACTGGTTTTACGTAAGGTCCCAATGGGATGCGTATTTGTATTTGTGTCCAGGAACATGGATGCAAAGAAATCATTTAGACTCCTTGGATCTGGCACACCAGCACCATGCATGACTAGTCCTCATGGATGATGGACTCTAGGACAGATTTGAAACACTCAGCCAAGACTTTGGCCAGCAGCTTGTAATCAAAGTTTAGGAGGGTGATGGGCCTCCAGTTCTCCAGGTCTTGGGAGCTGTTCTAATTAAAACACAGCTTTAAATAAGAGAGTTCTTCAGGTCCTCGGGCCCTTCTTGTAAGGAAGGGTCATGCATGTCCCTCCTGCAGTTGCTCCTGAAAGACTTCCAGCAGATCAGGGCCAACCTGATTGCAGAAAACCATGTAGGACTCTTTGGGCATGCCATCTGTCTGAGGAGTCTTACCATTCTTGAAGCTGAAGAGGGTCCTCTCAGCCTCCTCCAGCATCCACTCTTCCTCCAGCTTCTGCTGCGCATCTTCTGTAAGGGTCCAGGTGAGCTCCTGCAGACACTGCTGCATGGCCTCTGGCTCCTCCAGGTGTGCAGCATAGAGCTCCAAGTAGAAGGTGGCCACCACCTCCAGCATCCTCTTCTTTGACCGGTGCTCCAACCCCACTCCATCTCTCAATCTGGTCATGTTCTTTAACTTGCTGAAATAAGCAGATCACTCCTCCCCCTCCTCCATCCAAGAGGCCCAGGCCTGGAAGATCTTTTTTCTGGCCTGTTCCCTGTACCAGGCTCTGATCTGGGCCTTTACCTCCAGGATGTCTTCCCTCATGTCCCAGCCTGCCCCTGTCTGCTTGTTCAGGTCCTGTAAGTTATAGTTCAGGTGCTCATGCTACCTCTTTTGGAACTGGGCTTGCCACTTGCCAGCCTTTTGGGAGAAGGCCTTAGTCCTCTCCTTATTGCTGGCGCACCACTCTGGTTGGTTCAGGTACAGGGCTTTGAGGGTCCTCCACCCTGTGTAGTGCTCCCTGTAGTTGCACTGGGTCTTCTTGTCCTCCAGGAGCCTCACGTTCAGCTTCCACATCTCTCAGGCTGTCCCTCTACCCCTGCCTATACTGTTTGGAGACAGTGGTCCAAGAAGCAGATTGGTGTGGATTGTGCTTTCCCTGCTTTCCAATCCTCACGGAGAAAGACAAAGTCTATTTGTGACTTGGTGCTCCCCATGGGGTCCACTAGGGTAAAGTTTCCTCCAGGGCCTTGAGCTCCCTTACCCATATACACCAAGCTGTGGTCACTGATGAGCTGCTTCAGCAGCCTGGAGGATCTGTTCAGGCCTGTCTTTCAGGCTCTGCTCACTCTTTCCCTCATTGATGATGTAGTTGTAAACCCTGGGATCACTACTGGCTGGGTTCTCAGCTTCAGCATAGCCATGTTTTCCAAGAAGATCCACCTCACTTCTTTGTTTGCCAGCATGTACACATTCATCATGTTGAAAGACACCTTCCCCACCCCTTGTTTCAAAAGTGTCTGGCAGTAGCCTGCCTACAACTATTTCTCTGTGCTGCATGGGACATTACGTCTTCCTTCAGGATGACTATGACACCAGCAGCCTTATTGTCCTTTGATCCACTCCACATGGCTTGGCCATGTAGCCAGTATTTATAAAACAAAGGAAAGATTGTTTGGCTGGGCAAGCCACACTCTTGGAGGCAGATTCTGTTTCCAGCTGCTCCAAAGTTGTTTGCTGGATTGAGTCCACTTCCTTTTTCACCAGGCTTTTTACATTTGCAGAGGCAATTTTTATCTTCATCATTTTCAGTCTGTAGGGGGGGATCTGAGTTTTGAGGTCCTTTCATTTGTCGGGGAGGGGTGCATGGTACCACCATAGCTCTCTTTCTCATGGAAACCTGCTTCCACTCTCCCTGTTCCATCTCTTTGGGCAGGGAGGGTTTCTTCTCTTCCCAACCCCTTCCCAAACCGCTGTGTTGTGGGCTTCTGCTGTAACTGGGGCTCCCTCTGCCTTCTTCTGTAAGATGGCTACCCTTGCCTCCCTGCCCACCTCCCCTTTCCCTTGCTTCTTCACTGGGCTGGCCAGATCTTGGCTCATCTGTTGGATCTGTTTTAGGGTCTCCTGGTAGTCCTGGAATAGGGAGAGGTCTTTCCCTTCTGAGATGTCCTTCTTCTTTCCCTCCTCCTTTTCCTCTTCCTCCCCCTTGTTCTTTGGTAACATTGGGATGGGGGAGCTAGGGATTTCTGGATCCTTGGGGTGGGGCGGTGCCACCTTCTCTTCCTTCTCCTTTCTGGCTTCATTTGTGTGGGCTCCCAGGCATCTCTTAAAGACATGCCCCCTCCTCTTCACACAGTTTGCAACGTCACTCTTTTTCACAGTCGTCAGCCAAATGCCTTTTCTCATTGCAGATGGCACAGACTTTTACCGTGCACTCTGCCCTCACATGTCACTCTTCCCCACATCTCTAGCAGAGCCTGGGATGCCCCTGATGGTAGACCAGGCCCCTGTGAAGGCCCAGGGAGAGTGCTGTGGGTAGGTGCTGCAGCACCCCCAAATTCTCTGCATTGCTCCTCAAGATGACCTTTACCTTCCAGGCTCCAGTCCATATCCCCACTCCATCTAACTCTTCCTCTGTTTTCCCCACTTTTTCACAGTGTCTTTGTAGCCAGAAGTGGATATCCTCCTCTCCTGTCTCTGCAGTGTACATTTGGATCTCCACCATTTTGTCTTTCCATGTGTCTCCCCTAACAAAGACAAAAGCCTCCAGTCTGGGATCTCCCCTGGCCTACATGAGTCAGTTCTAGAAATCCAGTCGGGCTCCCAGATTCCTGAACCCAATCTTCCAATCTGACCCACTCTCCAAACTAAAGAAGTAAGGCAAATTTTTCCTCTCTACCTTGAACAGGTCTTGTAGCATGTCCTTTCTCCTCATCTCATCTGGCATCTGCTTTGGGTGTATGTGGCATGTTTTTCCACTCCCACCCCTGCCCAACCCAACCTCACTTCAGTTCTTCATATCCAATACCTCTGTAAAAGAAAACTACTAGCTCCCTTCCCCCCTCCAATATTTTCTCCCATCCCTACCAACTCCCATTCCACTGCCTCTCACACAGTGGAATACCCCCCTTACTGCCCATCCTACACCCCCTCTCTCAAATGGGAGACTGTGGCTGTTCCCCGAGCCTCTTACCTTCCCTTCCCCGTGAGGGGATTTTACCTATATGCGAACAGCTGCTTAAGAGCAATATATTGCCAGAATCTTGTACTGTTGTGTACGTGCCTCTTAAAAAGCACCATTTGATCTACAGTTTGGCAAATAATTGATTATGCAGTTAGCTGGAGTGAAATTAACCTCAGTTGTGACGTTGAGCCTGATGAGGACAGATCTTGATTAATGAGCTCCACATCCATAAGGATATGATGTGGTTATTGTTTAACTGCATAATAGCTTTCTGTACACAAACGTAATTGGTTTAGATGTGTCTCCATTAAACTGCATATAGTTGCCCTGGTTGCTTATCAGCTAAGAATATAAGTATGTAATGTCATGGCACATCTGTAAAAAAGGTAGATTAATGAAAAAATCCTGGTGGAGTCTAGGAATTAGGAAATAATGGGAAATAATACTTTCACCAAGAAGATGCAGTGAATATTTTCAAGATGCATCTGGCTAGCAAACAGTCAGCCAGGTGCCCTCTCAAGTAAAAGTCAGCTGTTAAAGTGTTAACCAAAGTAGTTGACCCACTTCTTGTATAGGTGTGTAACTCTGAATAAGGGAGTGCTCCTATCAGCTGCTCATAGGAAGGAAAGTAAATACTCCCAACATGCACTGAGGCACAGGGAGTGTCTCAGGTTTCCAACACTTCCCAGCTTGTTGAGTAAAGTAATAATTAACAGCTCCCCGGACCTGCATAAACTATCCGGACATCTGTCAGGCAGAGTGTAATGCTGTCATGCTTCTCCAACGGCTGAGTAAGAGGGCATGCAAAAGTCCTCCATTACTTCTCATTTCCTTTTGATCCTACAAAGGTAAGTGAACTTAAGAGTTGCAGCTGCTCCTCTGCTTTCTACTTAAATTATGGTATCCTTAGGTGACTCAAGTACTGTGAAATCATAGAGAACTCATGTCAAATTCCATTCCGTCACTAGGTGAAGTAGAGGAAAGGATGAGTGCAGTCTGAAATAATCTCTTTATCAGAAGACTCTTGTCTCTTAAGGCAGTCCCTGCCATTCAG